AGTGAGTGGGGCTATAATTTAGTTTGAAGATTCATGAAGGTATCCCATTATACATGATATTTATCAGAGTTAAAAGCTTAATAGGATGCAAATAAATTAGAAGCCTGGGAATGCAAAGGTCAGACAGAAGAAATAACATACGTAAATGCCTTAAGTTGAGAAATACTTTGGCTCTTGGAGGATAGAAATGATCAGTGTGGTTAGTCTTGAGTGAGAGAGCAATAATGCCTCATGTGGAGTCCCCCGGGTGTCAAAAACAGCTAAGTGCTCAACTACTAACTGAAAAGGTTGTAGTTCAACCCTGTGGTGCCTTGGAAGTTAAGGTCTGGCTATCTACTTTGAATGGTCACAGTTTTGAAAATCCTATGGAGTAGTGTTCTACTCTTCTACTCTACACACATGGGGTCACCATTAGTCAAAATCTACTTGATGGCCACTGGTTTGGATATTTTTGTTGTTCAGTATTATTCAGGGTTCTCTAGAGAAACAAAACCAATAGGATACCTATACACACACACACATATATTTTATTGATGGCATATATATATATATAGATAGATATAGATACAGATATCTATCTATATATATATATATATAAAAGAGAGCAAGAAAGAGATTTATTTTAAGAAATTGGCTCACATGATTCTGTATACTGATAAGTCCAAAGTCTGTAAGTCAGTTAGCAGGCTGGAAGCACTGATGATCTTGAGTCTAAAATTGGTAGACACAACAGGCTGGAAACTCCAGCAGGCTAACTGTGTTACAGTTTTGAAGCTGAATTCCTTCTCCCTTAGAGAACCTCACTTTTTGCTCTTAAGACTTTCAGTTGATTGGATTATTTCCACCCACATTATGAAGAGTAATCTGTTTTACTTAATTCAACTGATTATAAAGGTCTATCTTATGTAAATCCTGCATAGCTACATCTAGACTATTATTTGACCATAGAACTGGGCACCACAGATGAGACCAAACTGACACATAAAATTAACCATCACAGGCCCTAAATTATGATCTCAGGAAGGTGGGGGGCAGACTGTATGTGGCCGAGTACACCATCATGAGGATTTTACATTTTATCCTAAGTGCACAGGGAGTCAGTGAGGGGATTTAAGGAAGCTGGACAAGTGATCCAATACACACTTTCTTTTCCATTTTTGTAAGCATTTCACAGATTGAAAGTGTATAAATCATAAGTGGACATTTAAAGAATAATAAGCAAGTGAACACATCTGTGTAACCTGCACCTACTACCAGAGACCAGCTTCATACTCTCTCCCTGTCTTTGTCCCCCACTTCTCTTAGGGTTGATCACTCTTTGGACACCTAACACCTTGATTAATTTTGCCTTTTTTGAACTTTATATAAATGGAAGCACACAGTGCATATTCTTGTGTCTGTCTTCTTTTGTTCTATGTTATGTTTCTGCATGCAGCAGTAGTTTATTCAATTTATTTTCTGTGTAATATTTTGTAGTCTTACTTTACCACAATTCCCTTATTTATTCTACTATTGTTAGGCATTTAGGTTGTATCTTGTTTTTGCTGTAAACCTAATGCATCCATCATTTCTGCACGTGTTTTTTGGTTGTACCTGTGTAAACATTTCTGTTGAATATATACCAAACCATAAAAACCAAACCCGTTGCTGTTGAGTCACTTCTGACTCATAGTGACCCTATAAGATAGAGTAGAACTGCCCCATAGGGTTTCCAAGGAGAAGCTGGTGGATTTGAACTGCTGATCTTTTGGTTAGCAGTTCTAGCTCTTAACCACATAGGAGAAAAATTGCTAGACCGAAGCGTATATACATATATTCAAACTTAGTAATAATAATAAAATGATTTGCAAAGACTGTTTTATTCAATTGTACTTTCACTGGTAGTGTAAGGAAAAAGAAAAATAACTCTACTATGTGGAAGAAAGTAACAAAGGAACTTGTCTGTTGAGATCTTGGCACTGGTTGGAAAGACAAAGAAATCTCTCTTGAGAATTCATACTCACAAACTGGCCCTCATCTAGATTCGCAGCTAGTGATCTAAGAATTTCAAGTTGAGAATTTATTTTTAAGTGATCCCATGTAAGTACCAGGCACCAGGCAGAAGCAAATGAAAGTACTCTCTGGAGAAATGCTTCTTTCAGCCAGGCCATACAAAACCCAAGAGATAACATTCCAGGGAAAATAAACTCACTGTTCAAAAAAAAAAAATCACAGAACCAACAACAAAAAAAGAAAGCATCAAGAGCAAGTACCTAACTGAAACAAGAACAAAAAAGTCAGATTCCCAAACAGTACAGCTATTGGAATTATAAGACAAAAAACTTAAAAATAAATACACATTACTTTAGAGAAATAAATGCAATAATTAAAATATGAATACTTAGCAAGACATAATACAGATGTCCAAGCACATAGGAAAAAGAACAAGTAAAAAATGTAAACTGTATTATATTAGTGAATGTTATGGATTGAATAGTGTCCCCCAAAAATATGTGCTGTAAATTCTAACCAGTACACCTGTGGTTTTAATCCCATTTGGGAATGGCTTTTCTTTGCTATGTTAATGAGACAGAATTAATGTAGGGTGTCCTAAATCAATCTCTTTTGAGAAATATGAGAGATTAAATAAGCAAGCAAGAGGAGCAGAGATGGGGAAAGATAGATGCCAAGACACATGGAGATCTCCAAGAAACCAGGAGACAGAAGCTGAGACAAGAACCTTCCCCCAGAGCAGACAAAGAGAGAGAAAGCCTTCCTCTAGATCCGGAGCCCTGAATTCGGACTGCTATCCTCCTAAACTGCGAGAAAATAGATTTCTTCTTCATATAGTCCACTTGTAGTATTTCTGTTATTAGCAGAACTAGATAACTAAGATAGTAAATAAATTATAAAACTATAATCTTCTGTTGTTGTTAGTTGTTGCCTAGTCGGCTCCTGCACGTGGTATCTTATATGTAACAGAAGGAAAGGTGCGTCGTCCTGTAACATCTCCATGACCTTTGATTTGTTTGAGCCTATTGATGGCTGTTGTGTCAGTTCATCTCACTGAGAGTTTTGCTTGTTTTTTCTGACTCTCTAATTTACCAAATAGGATGTCCTTTCCTAGCAATGTATCTGTCGTTATGAGATGCCCAAAATAAGCAAGCCGAAGTTTCGCCATTCTTGCAAAAAGAACATGGCTTGGGTCAGTCAGACTTTAGTCATCAAAGTGATATCTTTACTTTTTAGAATTTTAAAGAAGTCTTTTGCAGCAGATTTTTCCCAGTGCAGTATGTCTTTTGATTTCTTAACTGCTGGTTCCATGGGTGTTGACTGTGGATCCAAGTAAAGTGAAATCTTTGATAACTTCCATTTTATCTCCACTTATCATGATGTTTATTGGTCCAATTGTGAGGATTTTCACTTTCTTCATGTTTAGGCATAGTCCATACTGAAGGCTGTGGTCTTTGACCTTCATCATGAAGTGCTTCAAGTTGTTTTCACTTTCAGCAAGCAAGGTTGTATCATCTGTACATGGAAGGTTGTAAATGGGTCTTCCTCCAATCCTGATAATGCATTCTTCTTCATATAGTCCATCTTCTTGGATTATGTGCTCAGCATACAGATTAAATAACTAAGGTGAAAGGATACAACTCTGTCTCACATCTTTTCCAGTTTTGAACCTTGAAATATCTGTTTCTACCACTGCCTCTTGATCCATGTACAGATTCCACATGAGCTCAATTTAGTATTCTGGAATTCCCATACTTCATAATGTTATCCATAAGTTATGATGATCTACACAGTCAAATGCTTTTGAATAGTCAATAAAACACAAGAAAACATCTTTCTGGTATTCTTTGCTTTCAGCCAATATCCATATAACGTCAGTAATGCTATCTCTCATTCTTCAACTTCTAAATCCTACTTGAACTTCTGGCAGTTCCCTGTTGACATATGGCTGCAGTTGTTTTTGAATTATCTTCAGCAAAATTTTGCTAGCATAAGATATCAATGATTTGTTCAGTTTTTGCATTCTGTTTGACTCTGTTGAATGTAATGATAGAAATATTATTGTATATATATTCACTGTTTAATAAAATATTAAAATTAACCTATTGTGATGTTTATTTTTCTCACAACAGTAGAGGAATTCTTAACAAAATTCCTAAAACACAAACCAAAAAACTAGATTTTTTAAATATCCATATGCTAGGAGAAAAGTTATTTTATATGCGCATGGTTGTTTTTGGTGTTATATAAATGTAAGAAGAGTAGTTTTGTAGTTTTGGTAGAATGTGTCATATCAAGATTTTTTACAAAAAGAAAAGGAAAGATATTAAAAAGGAATTGCTACTAATGGCAAAATACAGAAAATATGCAGAAGTCAACCCAAGTGTTCGATCTCTCATCACAACTCAGATACTATTATTATAGAGAGCAGACAGAAAATAAACAACTTCCACACAAATTTTTTTTTAATTTTATTGTGCTTTAGCTGAAAGTTTACAGCTAAAATTAGGTTCTCATTCAAAAATTTATACACGTATTATTTTGTAACATTGATTGCAATCCCACAATGTGTCAGTCCTCTCTGTCTTTCCCTTTCCACCCCCGGTTTCCTGTGTCCATTTGTCCAGTTTTCCCATCCCTTCTTGCCTTTTTGTCTTTGCTTTTGGACAGGTGTTGCCCATTTGATATCATGCTTGATTGAAATAAGAAGCATGTTTCTCACATGTGTTGTTGCTTTTTTATAGGTCTGTCTAATCCTTGACTGAAAGGTGGACTTCTGAATTAACAAGTTTTCTGGGGGTCATAATCTTGGGGGTTCCTCCAATCTCTGTCAGACCAGTAAGTCTGGTCTTCTTTGTGTGTGTGAATTTGAATTTTTTCTACATTTTCCTCCTGGTGTATCTGGAACCCTCAAATCATGATCTCTGTCAGAGGGGTCGGTAGCGGTAGCCAGGTACATCTAGTTCTTCCACTATCAGGCTGGTAGAGGCTGTGGTTCATGTGGTCCCAAAAATATGGAATGCTTCACGAATTTGCGTGTTATCTTTGCACAGGGGCCATGCTAATCTTATCTGTATAGTTCAAGTTTTAGTATATAGGTTGCCAAAGTGAACACTCACACAAAAGTTTTAATAAGGGAATCTATTTTAATCAGATCTTCACAGTTCTATTACTACAAGCCATCTATTAGAACAATGTAATGATTTTGCTGTACAAAACCGTTCTCCATAACGACATTTGTACCAATGGAATTTTATATATGGTTCAAGTAAGTAAACAAGTAATTTTTTTTTTGTCTGAATTTATTCACCTGAACTCCCCAACCTCTGTTTTACTCTACCTGGCTTTATGTAGCTAAATACTAGATCCATCTGTATTCCAATAATAACCTGCCCTCTAACTAGAGACATTTGGAACTAACTTATTTTCTATTTTTACCTGCTAATTACCTATTTGAATAGAATTTTAAAACGCTATGCTAATCTATCCCTTATTTTCTTATGCTATATGCAATTCCCTGTTACTTGGTTTAAATAGGTTATGTCATTAACAGTTATTGTCTTGAAGTGAGATTTGCCTTTTGTCAGATCACACTTGCCTATACCAGTTATTCTAATTTTAGGACATCACAGGCCATGTGATACCACATTCTATGAAGTTTGGGCACTACATTTCACATTTACCACTTATCAAGGGACCTGACTGGAAAATGTGCTATTCTGTAAAAAAAAAAAAAAAAAAAAAAAAAAAAAAACTTCCTAAGAGAACTCTTTGTTGCAAACGATTGATAGGTTGTCATAAGTACAAAGTAATTACTTTTGGAACATTGATTTCATTTTCTTGTCAGAAATGACAATGTCTGTCCTGCATATAGGTCGGGGGGAGGACAGGCTAGGAAAGGCTAGGTCTTTCTACTTTAGCAGTTAGAAACTTCTTGATGCTTTAAGTGCCTGTGGATAAATAAAACTACTGTAATTGTGAGCCATTTATAAAATTGCACATCCACTGAGACATTTTGACTTGCAGCAATAAACTACTAGGCAGTACTTGAACTGTTCATATCAGTTAATTAGAAAATGAACATATAACTGAATAGATTAATTCAACAACTTACATAAGCACAGAGACAGTATCTTAGTACTTCAAACCTCTCGTACTTTTTTTGTTTGTTTCTCCCTTCTCCTCTATTTCTTTCAATAATAATCACTCAAAAGAAATCAAGTTGTCGGAGTTCCAGCAAAATGGTGCTCTAGGCAGAAGCACCATGCTGTCCCTCCACAGCAAAGATCTGAAAAACTAAGCTGAACAGAGAAAACAACAATCCTGAAACCCTAAAATATCAAATGAAGAGATAAAGAACTCAGCCAAGCACCAAATGGAGTGAGAAAACTGACAGAGAATGGAGATCGAGGAGAGATTCATGCAGAGGTCCTCTACCAGCTAACGCAACACAGATCTGCCAACTTGGACTCCTATTGGAGACCAGCAAACAGGGGGTACAAGAAAGCAGCCTCACGGAGCATCCAGCGGGGCACAAAACAACTGGTAATTTGTGATATACGCTTTCACCCCCCATCCTTCTTCACCCCGACTCGGCCTCCTCTGCTTCCCGCGGCCACAATCTCTTGACTGGGAAACACTGGCTGCTTGGATTCCACACACCAGAACGGGCCGGCTCTCCGAGTGCCATTTGTTGGCTGCTGGTGTTGCTTTTTTCCGCTTCTTTTGATTTCTTCCTTACCTCTCACAACCTCCCCATCCTTTCGCTCAAATACCTGGCTCCATGCACCATCTTTGGTTCTTCCTGAGGGTCTGCAGAGCTCCAGTAATTTGTGATATATGCTTTCCCACTCCCTACCCTTCTTCACCCACACTCAGTCCCCTCTGCTTCCCGCGGACACAGTCTCTTGTCTGAGAAACACCAGCCCACACTAGCTGGCTCTCTGAGTACCATTTGTTGGCTGCTAGTGTTGCTTTTTTTTCTGCTTCTTTTCATTTCTTCCTTACCTGTCACCACTTCCACCTCCTTTTACTCAAATACCTGGCACCGTGCACCTTCTTTGCTTCTTCCGGAGGGGCTGCAGAGCTCCGGTAATTTGTGATATACGTTTTCCCACTCCCTACCCTTCTTCACCCACACTCGGCCCCCTCTGCTTCCCGCAGACACAGTCTCTTGTCCAAGAAACAACAGTCCACACTAGCTGGCTCTCTGAGTGCCATTTGTTGACTGCTAGTGTTCCTTTTTTTTCTGCTTCTTTTGATTTCTTCCTTACCTCTCACCACCTCCCCCAACTTTCGCTCAAATACCTGGTTCCGTGCGCCATATTTGCTTCTTCCTGAGGGGCTGTGGAGCTCCATTCGAGTGTGGAGCTGTTTCCTGGTCTGGGCTGCCACGCTGGTGGGATCCCGGGGCTTTTGTTCATTTGTTTGTTTTAAATTGTTTGTTTGTTTTCTTTTCCTTTTCTTGAGTTGGGATCCCTTTCTGGCCAGGCGGTGCTGCGTGGCAAGGAGACATCCCCCTTGCCTTGCACAGACGTGCAGAGAGATCCCTGAGGGCTTTCTTTTTTCATTTTTTTTTTTTCTGTTTTTTGGGGGACTTTCTTGTTCTTTTTTTTTTTTTTAATTTGTTTTGTTTTCTTTTCCCTCTTTTTCCCTTTTTGTCTTTCTTCACTGCTCAGTTTCTCATCTCTCTATACCTTCCTTCTCTTTCTGTTCCATGAATACCTGGCATTGTATACCTCTATGCCTTCCAGCCAGGCTGCACTGCAACACCTGAGAGCAACTTCCCCAGACCTCATAGCTGCACCGGTGGGATCCCTGGGAACTTTGCAGTTCTTTAACCTTTCTGATTTTTATTTATTAATTCTTTTCTTTTTTTCCTTTTCCCCTTTCTGTTTTTCTCCATTTCATAGTCTCTCATCTCTCCATTCCAACGGCAAGCTCCCCTAGCATTCTTTTTTGTTTGTTTGTATGTTTTTGGCTCCTGTTCCTCTCTCCTCTCTCCCATATCCATTTTAGCTCCACACATAACAATCTCCCCGCTGCATCCTGCCTACCTGCACCGTGCGCTTGACATCACACCACCAAGTAGCACAGGCATGGCCTACTGGAACCTGCCCTGCACTGATTACAGACCCGCTCTGGTGGTTGTAGTAAGTAAGTGCCACAAACAACCCGTCCCAGAAACTCCTCTTCAGCTAGACCTGCCCTGCTCTACCATATCTGAGTGACTGACTCTGCCAATTGGAGAAGGAGGTGAAAAGTATTGTGCCCACAGATGGGCAAACAACAAAGAACACACAGTCTACCTGCTCACACATAGTCAAATTTAAAAAAAAAAAAAGGGAGGAAACAAACAAATATACAATCAACAAAAGAGAAAAATAACTACTGAATGCCCTGAAGACAGCAGACAATATCAAAACATTTACAAACACAGGATAGGATGGTTCCAGTAGGCGTCCAAAATAAAACACCAGATGACTCTCCAGTGGAAGAAAATGCACTAGAACTACCTGATAGGGAATTCAAATCTCTAATATTCAGAATTCTCCAAAAGCTGAGGCAAAAAGCTGACAAACTTGAGGAAAAAGTAGACAAATTCATGGAAAATACAGACAAAAAATTGGGAGAATTTAGGAAAATAATGCAGGAACAAAATACCAAAATAAATTCACAACTAGAAATTATACAAAGACAACAATTAGAAATCCAAAAGATAAACAACAAGATTTCACAAATGGACAGTGTCATAGAAGGGTTGAGAAACAGATTTGAAATGGTAGAAGACAGGATCAGTGGAATTGAAGACAAACACTTGGATACAACTCTGTTTCAGTAAAACTCAGAAAAAAGAAGAAAGAAAAATGAAGAGACCCTGAGAGTTATGTGGGATACAATCAAAAGCAAAAATTTGCAAGTGATTGGAATTCCAGAACAGGGGGAGAAAACAGAAAACATGGAGAGGATCATTGAAGAACTACTGATAGAAAACTTCCCCAATATCATGAAAGATGAAAAGCTGGCCATCCAAGAAGCTCAATGAACCCCGTATAGGAGAGACCCCAAAAGAAAATCACCAAGGCATATTATAATTACACTCCCTAAAACAAAAAACAAACAATGAATCCTGAGAACAGCTTGTGAAAAACCAGAAGTCACATACAGAGGAGAAACAATAAGACTAAGCTCAGATTATTCAGCAGAAACAATGCAGACAAGAAGGCAATGGGATGACGTATATACAATCTTGAAAGAAAAAAATTGCCAACCAAGAATAATATATCCTGCAAAACTCTTGTTCAAATTTGATGGTGAAATTAG